CTAAAGAAGTGAAGCCCTGAGTCAAACCCAAAGACATCCTAAAGCAGCAGCAAATCCCTAAGCCAAACCAACCACAGACCCTAAAGAAGTGAAGCCCTAAGTCCCTCACCAGTGAAGGCCTAAGTCCAACCCCTAAGGCAAACCAAAAGAAACCCTAAAAGAGCGAAGCCCAAAGCAAAACCAAAAGAGACCCTAAAGAAGTGAAGCTCTGAGTCTGCCCCAAGGCACGTTATTACTACAACCATGTGCGGAAGTCTCATACGAAACGCTCGTTCTGGAGACTTCCGCGGCTCACTTTTGGAGGAAGTCTCGTACGACACGCTCGTTCTCGAGACTTCCGCGGCTCACTTTTGAAGGAAGTGTCGTACAAAACGCTCGTTCTGAAGACTTGCGCGGCTCACTTTTGAAGGAAGTCTCGTACAAAGCGCTCGTTCTGGAGACTTGCGCGGCTCACTTTTGAAGGAAGTCTCGTACGAAACGCTCGTTCTGGAGGTTTCCGCGGCTCACTTTTGGAGGAAGTCTCGTACGAAGCACTCGTTCTCGAGACTTCCGCGGCTCACTTTTGGAGGAAGTCTCGTACGAAGCGCTCATTTTCACTAGTAAATGATACCTTCGAAGCACTACCGAATGATGTGTGTTCCAAAACGATCCGCGAAATTGGTGTCAGACTGAAGTCCCGGAGAGTTTTCTTTTCCTCTGTGTTCCAAAATGATCCATGTTCCATAATGAGCCACTTCTGGGTTCCAAAATGATCCGGGCGCCCTGCGAAGCTCCGTCAGCTCTCCTTCCAGCCATCGAAGTCGAGTCGCTTGCAATCCTTCTTGTGCACCGCCACCAAAACTGCCAGCTTGGAGCACTTGGTTGACTTGTAGCACTCCATGGATGATCTCTCAGAACTCCTGGATCGCCTCACCGCCCGCCATTCTCCAGTCACATTCGCTCTCTTTCTCCCCATGTCGTAGTGCTCGTTCATGTCGGCGATTAACCCCGCCTTCACATTCTCCCGGTCCACGTAGATGAAGTTCATGTTGGCGCTAGTCACCATGACGACCATGTTCATGAAGGTCACGTTGAGCCATAGGTTTTCCACACAGTTGGTCCTGCTGCAAGGACGCGTTCAAGGCTCTGACTGCGTGTTCTTTCCCCATTGGACTTTATTTTCCGGCCATGGCCAAGTAGGTACAGGTGGAAGTTCATTGGTGTGAAATGGTGTGAACATCTCTGTAACCGGCGATTTGAACTCTTCCTTCACTTCCATCGCCTTCTTCATCACCCCCTTTTTGGCCTTCTTGAGCGGTTGTTGCCCATGCAGTTCCTGATCCACAGTCGGCCAGCCCGCGGACTCGATGACATTCTGTGGCAACTCTTTCGGCAGCTTTTCTTCACTTCCCAGGCACCATTCTCCTTTTCACTGGCATTGATCGCAGCCGCCGCCATCGCCTCTGGTACCTGAGGTCCTCCACCAGCATTGATTGCACCAGTTCCTTCTTCTTCAGCATCATCCAGCTCGTCGCCATCAGCATAGGACCCAGCATCTCGAGTCCATGCTGCTCATCCTGCACCATTTCCTCAGAGCTCAGGTGATCTTCACTCCCCTCCGAGTCATCCGGAACCACCAGGAGTTCGTCTTGATTTAATTTTCTTCCAATGGGAGTCCTGCTGGGCGTGCTCTTCTCAAAGCGACCTGATCTCTCAGGCTCTGGCTCCAGAAGGGGTTCGCGTCCATTGGGACCAACACTGACCCTTTGTCAAGTGGACTTGGAAAAAACCTATGCTCCAAGCTTCACGCTTGGGCTCATAACCTGGAGCAGGCGAAGCGCGCCTTTGATGTCAAAAAGGGCCTGCGTTCAAGTATATGGCAAGTGTTTATGCCTTCTTCTATGCCGACTTCATGTATAAAAAATGTCAGCGTTCTCAGGCTTTCCCAGTGCACTGTCAAATCTGCAGTCCCTAGCTTGCGAGCAAGCGGGGAATCGCTGTTGGTCACAGTCTTTCCATCTGTTTCTGTCGTGCTTTGCTATGGCGTGTATAGAGGGTGATCACTTGAAAAGACTCATGGAAGCCCAGCTTGCCTTGGACTTTGTCAAAGCCAGCCTGGAAAGCCCAGCAAACGAGTAGCTGAAGGCCTGGCATGCCACGAATGGCAGGTTTCAAGAGAGATGATCGCGCAACTCTACCAGCGTCTACCAGTGCGACTATCAAGTCACGAACGATGAAGTACAAGCCCTTGGTGTCGCCGGTGTCGCCTGCTTTGCAGGGTGTTGGGTGACCAAGTCCATTCTGGAGTCATGCTTTGGGTGGCTGAGAGACGCCCTTCGACACAGCAAAGCCCCGGTGATTCTATGCCATGTTCAACCCATACTGCCGTCATGATGGGGGGTGTCAGTCAGATTCTCCCATTGAAGACTGATTTCCAAGATCTCTTCACGCAGGGCTTCAAGGATGAGATGCTGTTGAAACACAACATTTGGCATGCTGCCAAGACAAGCCTTGGTGAACAGTTTCCTACCCCGCAGCAAGCTTTGAGAAACAGCCAGCGGGGTACATGGCCAAGTGAAAGAGTGCAGCTGCCATGTCAGTTGCCCTTCTCACGCAACCTAAGAATTTTCCAGAGGTCACTGGAACGTAAGTCAGCCATCTTAGGGGCAGCTGTACTGACGTGTGCTGACAGATAGCTGAACGAACGATCGAGGTAAGGAAACGGAACAGTGTGCTTGTTCGTCTTTCAACTTTCAACTCGCGCTTTCTCGGTCTTTTTCACTGGTGTTGTCTCGTTTGTTTCTGTGTCTGGCCGTGTGGTGAGTATGCAATTGGTTACCAGCGATGTTGCTGAACGTCTCCCTTTCTTCCTGTTGAACCTTTCCCAATGCCGAATGAGTTTCTGAGAGACTTTTCCATACTCTGCCATGTCGTTTCAATCAAGCTGGAGAGTTGCTAGTCCCACTTAGGGGGTGTGTGCTGCATCTTTCTATGAATATTCGGGAGGAGCTGGGAGAGAGACACGGCCGGTTTGTTGGTTTGCAAGCCACTGGTGTGTGTCTTCCCTCTTGCACAACACCCTGTCTTGAGGGCCAATGGATGTGAGCACCACGGCCCGCTTCCCCAGGCTCAGCCGATTGGCTGAGAAGCCAACAAGGTGCGAAGGGAATTCCGTGATCAACGCGTTGCTAAACTGTACTCACCTCGCCTGCGTCGGGAATTGCGTGAAACATCTCTGCAATTTGTGTGTGTGTGAGTTGACAATTGCTGACAATGCTAGAGTGTTTGTTGGGGCCAATCATGTCAAATACAGACACCAGGATGTTGCCATACTTCACGCAAAACTCTGAACAGGAACACACGCATACCAGCTACCTTTGAACTTTAAGGGTGACTGAAAATTGGGTTTGACCCTGTGAAGATTCCACACATCTACCAGTACTTGGCGCAAACTACAATTCTTCAGTAGCCCCATAACAGTGAAGGATGGACAGGAGGACAAAATTTTGGGTATTTGTAAAGTTGACAGTGCCTTTGCAATATCAAACCTGGAGTCTCAGGCCTTTGATATGCCAACCCGGAGTCTTATGTTTCGGGATCTCAAGTTCTGGCCAGAGAGTAGGATAAACCTTTTGGTTCTGCATAGTTATATCAGTTTAAGCACCTTAGGCCCCCTTACACACACACACACCTTCCTGCTTGATTCTTCACGATGCCACTAATTACGTGCCATGCAAACGAGGGGTTGGAAACAGCTTGGATGGTGTGTGCCACCCGTGAGGGAATTTGCGGAAGAGCACTTAGTGACGCCAAAGCTGCCTGCAGGAGAGGGGTCGTGCATTTTGAAGCATGAACTGCCTCAGCACTTGAGCAACAGGAGAAGAGCTTCAAACAAATCAGCATTGGTTCATTTCCTTTCAACATGCCTGTCCTTCAGAAGGGCGGGCACCTGAAACCATCCTTGAACCGTCAAGAGAAAGCAATGATAGTTCATAGGACAGCTCCTGACACTGCTGCGGTCATTAGGACCAACGGATTTCCAGTTTGCAATGTCCTTCGAACAGACAGGTGTGACTGCAAAGACCAGTTGGACCTGGAAACGTGGGGGTAACTCTTCCTTTGGTCGAAGCATCCTGACAAGTCCTCTAAGTTTGCAGCCAGGCACATACTTGGCCTCTTTCGGCCACTATATCCTCACCTTCAGTGCCTTCAGGGCTCTTCGAAAGGCAGGGGCATTTGAAGTGGATTTAAGATTTTGTTGTTTTACTGTATTACTGTATTACACATAGACACACACACACACGCGCACACTCATATGATGCAGAAAGATGCATCCATTGACGAGTTGCTTGATACAGGTGTAGTGTTGAGAGTTGAGAAGGTTGTAGGTCAGGTACTTGTTTAGGATTTCCTCTTCCTTGAGGCTGCTGTATGAGCTGCAGTTTGGATCATCAATGCTATGGCCTATGGGCCTATGCCTTATGGGTAAACTTATACTTGTAGCCTCCAACCTGGATGCCCTGCGATTCTGCAGAACATGGAGTTTTCAATCAGCCTGCTGCAATGCTACCAAAGAAACACATTCACCCGCGCGGATCAAAAGCTGGGCGATTGGTTTCCTGCTGCGCAGGGCGGCCACTTCACCCAGATCTTGGATGAACTGCGGCAAGCTGAAGGTCTGCGGAGCCACAGGTTCACTGTTCACTGAAGATGTTCAACATATTTTGGCCCACTTCATGGGATCTTCTGAAAAATCTGCGACCTCAAAGCAGGAGGGAGTTGGGGTGAGGAGTCCGTCTCACGTATCCAGTTGTATGCCAGATCAAGATTAGTGTAATCATGTGTAATCAAGGTTCAGCTGCTCAGATTTCAGCGTGTACGTGGTACAGCGAAATTAATCTGATGTAGTGTTGTAGTATGACGTGGTGACAGTGACCGTCGAAGTGTAAGCACGTTTGGACCTGAACTTCCGTTCAGCGACGTGTGTCCTTGCATGTCACTGAAATGGTGGATCATTGGCTTATGTCTAGCGTGGTGGTAATGCAAGCCTCACTGATCCATAAGGGGGCTCTTTAGTACTAATTTTGTTGTGCTCTTGACCACCCAGGAAGCCTTTCGACTTGACCGATTTTGGGGTATGTCGTAGTTGAGTTTCAATAGTTTCACGGAGTCCTTCTGCTGCAGGCGTCGATGGCGTGCTCATTGAGGGGACGCGCTGGGACCTAGGCGGAGTGGTGGGCATGCTTGGTTGTATTGCTTGCTTTAATGGTAGCGGTTAGTTGCATGGGCTGCAAGTCCTTCCCAGGCCTCGGGAGCCAAAAGAGGATTCTAAGAAGGGCGGAACTCTTTTGCTTTCAGCCCAACCGGGCCCAACTGTTCAATAAATGCTTGTTGGCCAGGAAACATGCACACCTACATCCAGTGCTTGCAAGCGCAAGCTCAAGAGCCTTCAACTGCAGCAGTGGCGCTTCATGGTCTGGCTTTGCTCCTCAAAAAAGAAGAACTCGGCAGTGCCATTTGTGACGAGCTCATCGACTCATCGATTCACAAGTGTAACATCAATCAAACCGCTGGTTGATTGACACGGGCTTATCATAAGTGTCCTTAGATGTCACTAGTGTCCAGCGTGCCCAACAGAAGGCAACTGGTCTAGCGAGAAGAAGCTTGGGCCACCTTCGGCATTTGAGAGGAGTTGGAACAAGATAGAACACGTAGAGGAGGACCCCCTCAACCAGAAGGAGTATACAGTACACGTCCAAGGTCGTGTTGACTGGGGTTGAGTTGTCATTGCCTTGAGCGATGCTCTACCCTGCTGAAGTTATCATGCCTCAATGGAATGGTGGATCGTTTGTTTGTCCATTTGGTTGAGCAGATGGCAATATAGGGTTAAACAGGTTAAATTAACAATGCCTGCGATCGGCGTTTTTGAGCTCATAAAACCTGCGACCTCAGCAAGGACGAACCTGCTGCCAAGCGAAGAAGAGTTGATAGCTGAGCGCAAGACCTTTGAAACCTCAACCACGCTGGGGGTTGAATCAAGATGTTTTTGAGATAAGCCGCTTGTTGGGTATGAATGGGCTACCAGTCTTTTTTGGCTTGCAACCATTTGACACCCAGTATTTCTTAGCATACCGTCCTGCACTTATTTAGCCTTTGGCAATTCCGCCAGCAAAGTAGACAGTCAACTTTGGAGGTATATAAGTGCAGGCCAAAATTGTTTCAACGAATTTTGCAGACAGAAAAGAGGCAGCGCGCCAATGCCAGCCAGCCACTTATGAGATCTTTCGTGGTGGATCTCCACACTTGACAGGTGAGCCCGGCCCATGGCCTGCGCTTCCGCACAGTTGACGAGAATGCCTGGATGCTGAGGGGTTAGTCGGCTTGTGAATGCACTTTGCAAAGAGTCTTGTTCAATGATGCAAGCCAAGACTGTTGCATGACGAAAGGATTCGCCCTGGCCCTGAGTTGGACTTGTTAGCTCACCAGGTGTTATTTTCTTGAAACATCCCGAGGCCCGCTGGTTCATACATATTCTTTTGGCCTACTTTTCAATTCAACACTAGCTAGATAGCAGAGATTCAGAAATCTCTTGTGATGAATCATTGAATAGCTCTTAGTTCTTAGGCTTCCGTTGATTTGCCTCATGGTTCAACGCCATCTGGCAAGGTCACGGATGAAGACACGAAGAGCCCCAGCTTATTGGATTCCTTTGCCACGAATCCGCTGCTTGGTCTAATTGGAGTGATGCCTGCATCCAGGTGCCGTGATGTTTGCACTCTCTTTCTCTCTCACTGTAGCCCATGTTAACATAGACTAGCACTAGCTGCATAGCTCATGAGAGCCGAATAGGCAGTCAAGTGCACGGTGAATAACGGACCTGCTAGCCCACTGCTTTGTTCATTCTTCGCTACATCAAATAATGTCAAGGCTTTCATGCAAACAGAGTTTAGAGTTACTTGCAATTCACAGCATGCAGCAGTCCGCAGTGTTTGATGGCAAATCTGTTCATCCTGTCGCTATCGAGGCAGAATGGAGCGCTGCAAGCAGCAAGGGAGTTCCACCTCTTTTTTGATGAGGTGGACCACGGGGCTATTCAGTTATTTCATTTGCTTGACCAAAGAACCAAGCGAAGTCCTTCACCAGGTAGGTGCTCCTCAGTAAAAGCAAATCTAGTTGGCACCCCTGAGCCAGGCTTGCTGCGAAGTTCTCCAACCGAAATAGATCTCGCATTTCTCGGACGCATGAGAGCGCGCAGGGCTCCTTTGGTGAAAACCCTACTGCCCTACTGTGGGAATCCGCCGCACGACATGGCGGACGTGGCCGTGCAACATCCGATGCCGGGTGCAACCTGGCGCAAGGGCCACAACCAAAGCAGCCCGCAGGCAGAGTTGAACCTCAGCACAATGACGTGAAGCCAGCAGAATCCCGAGAAGAGTGTGGGAAGAGCGTCAACTGCTGGCGCAACCGTCCATTAGCGGCCCAGCCAAAAGTTTTCCTTCAATTCAGAATCAAGTGATAAAGGTGCACTTGTGACAAAGCCCGAAATCGCATCTGCCACTCAACAGCTCTGAATGCCAGTGCTTGCCGGCCAGAACTTATTCACAAGTTTACAAGTATATATTTATGAGCATGCCAGCTGAAATCAAGTTTGCATAATAGTATTCATCGACAACACGCCCCAGAGCAGAACACAAAGGACCTCAAAGGTGAACTCAACGCCCCACAATGGATCTCGAAGAAGTCTGCGTACAAGGCTATAGCACTGTGCTGGATCACATCCATGCAGTTGATGTTGGCAATTGTGCTTGGAGGCCACATTCGCGATAGTGAAGTGTTCCTGTGTGGCTGGGCATGTTGATGCTGTTGAAGGTTTTGCTTGCTCTCCATGCCTGTGCGGCTCACCACAGGGGAACGACCCAAACATTGCCAATGTCCAAGCCGCCTTTCGCCCTGTAGCACTCGAGTTTTGAGGACATGACATGGCCCTTTTGCATTCAACCCGAATTTACAAGAAAAGACAAAACACCAAGAAAGCAGAGGATCATTTTCACTTTTGCTGCGTTCACCTGTTGACCAGGGATTTCTAAGCCAGAGCTACCTCGAACCCAAGCTGGAGATAAGCCTGGGTGCAAAATCTCAGTCACATCACATCAAAGAGACTGACCCGCCCAAAACCCAAGATGACCATTGGTCTGAAGTTTTCTTTAGTGGGAGATTGACCCCAACTCTCTACAACTACTTCCGCTATACTAGGGCAAAACTAGCCAACCCTCATGCACTCAAACTAGCCACACAAATCCACACACAAACTGCCCTCAGAGCTGTCAGGTCACCAGAGCCTGGAAAACCGACTTAGCCCCTTTGAGAGCTCTCAGAGCTTCCGTGATCCAGGCCTAGTATATAGTGGTGGCTAGTAGAGGCCCTGGGCTGCAGGTGGCACTCAAGGGCCCTGGGCCTTTAGCCTTGGTGCGGCTACCGGACCTCAGAGGCGCGACGCATCGCGACGCATCGCGACGCATCGCGACGCATCGCGACGC